TTGTCCCCCCTCGAAACCAGGGTCACCACCATCTGCTATGGCTGGGCAAGCTCCTGATCCTGGGGCAGATGCCTCCCAACGCAGATGCTGCTTCTCTCCCGCTAATAAGGGAGCTTCTTGTGCAGTTTTGGCCCAGTTGGCTGCACTCTCAACAGAAACGTGTCCTGCTGGACAGATACGTTCTGCTGTTCTGTAAATATTTGTACCGAAAATGTATCTCCCCGCAGAGGATTGCAGAGCGCAGCCATGGTGGCATAAACACCGGGTGAAGCAGCCACGTCATGGACGCACGGCCATGGCCAGCAAGGCCGGAGGGCAACCGAGATGTGGGGCCCGGGCAGGCTCCGGAGGAGTCTCGCTGATGGCTCGTGCAGATAGGGAAGGAATCTTCAAACAGCTCATCCAAGCATCACTGCTTGTGGAGTAGCTCAGAGAGGCTTCTCTGCTTTGCTCCATCATCCAGGCCAAATTCTGGTCACAACAGAGTCAGGGAATTGCTCTGGGTGGTAACATGCCCCCATTTTTCCTTCACTTTCCTCATGGTGGACTTGGTAAATAAGTGCTGACTATATTTAACTTCCAAGGGCAATGCACATGGCATTGCACAGAGCTCCCTCCAGCACATTCCACCAACACATCTCTAATTTTTTGTAGGTTTCCAAATGTGTGGTAAAGTCTAGAGAAATATTTTCCATTTTTGATTTTTTTTCAGCACGATTTGTTTTTCTTCCCTCTCAGCCTGGCTGGGAAACTCTCTGGTTTTGGGCAGTAGTGTAAGTGGGTTTTGCCTGTTTACAGCTCATGGGATCCAGCTCTTAGGAGGAGAAACAGACCTCGAGTTGCTGCAACGTGACTGAGAGACGCAGCCCACCAGAGAGGGATGCAGCGAGTCCCCTGCCACCTCTATGATCACAGCAACTTGGGGCAGCTCCTGAGCGTGGTGAGGAGGGATGGAGGGTGCATCCCGGCTTGGCTGGGAGCAGGGAAGCAGCCTAGGGAGGCAGGAGGGATGAGCGGATGGAGCAGGAGGCAGGAGACAAGTCACTGCCTCCCTCGCTTGGTGCAGGGCCTGTCTCTGCCTTAGACCTGGAGCCTCCACAACCCTGTGTCTGCCCCAGGTCTCCTGCTCCACACACCATAAAGCTGGTCTTCCTGGGTATGAAAAACCAGTTGGGAGAGGCTAATCATATATTCCTTATTTATGGGGCCGCTCATAGAAGTAGCTCCAGGAACAGAGTTGTGGGGATAATGCTTTAAAACTCAACACAGACAAAATCTGAGCTTGCAGAGAGGCAGAACCAGCCCGTTTGCTTCAGGAGATGTTACTGCTGATGCCTTCATTGCTGAATCGCTTTGCAGGCTGTGGCCTCCTCCAGTCCTGCTTGCTGCAAGGAGCCTGGGAGTCTGGGGAATTGGTTGCACGTGGAAAAATGGGATTTCCTTCCCTCAGTGCAGGGGAAGATGATGCATCATGGCAGGGTTAAGTCACCACCACTTTGGTGTGACCTTTTGTGCAGGCTTAAGCGTCCATAAGCAGAGCACCTTTCTCTTTAATAAGCAGCTGCACAATTCATGCCTTTACTTGAAACCAGAGCTTGGGAGATGGAATTGCTCATTTGGGGAAACCGTGGGGAATCAGTGCCGTAATTGCCCAAGGCATCTGCTGCCCTTTGAGAACGGGTTGGAGTCCAGGTCACGTACACATCCATATCCCATTGCCAAGGATTTGCTGCCCAACCTGCCCTCTCATGTAGGTCCTGCTGCCACCAGGAAATTCCCCGACATTAGTGAAACCCCCTAGCAATAGTGAAAAACAAAACTGCTCTGGCTGTTATAATATAGCAGTATAAATCAGCTGGTTGAATAAATGACTCCCCGTGTGGGAGCAGAAAATGATATTTATTGCAGAATTCCTCCAAATAATTCTTTCAAAACAGGATCTGTAGTAAAGGCTTCTATTTTTAAGTACTTTTCTTGAGCATCTCCCATGATTTTTTTCATTCCTTCTGCCTTTTCCAGCATCTCCAACAAATCTTTTCATTCCTTCAGTTCCTCTGTCAGCAAAACCTTTCATCTTCTCACCCAGATTCTTAGGGTCACTCTTAGTTATTGACTAATCTTAACCTTTTCAAAAGAAATACATTAATATGTGGAAGAAAAAATTTCTTTTGCCGGTTGCAGGTTTTTGTACGTGATAGAGCCCAAGCATCACCCACAACACGCGGGCCTGGGTGTGCTCCAAGGGCGTAAGCCTGAACAAACTCTCTTTTGATCATTGCACCTGATTTAAATTTGTGCCAGTTATTGGTGCAAATTGTCCAGGGGTTCCTGCCAAAACTTGAATAATGCTGAGGAGGGCAAAATCTGTCTGTGTTTCCGGCTAGCAGAAGTCCTGGCTTGTCTGCAGGTGGTACCAAGTTTGCACGTATTTCTGCTGCTCAGGGAGGCATGTGGGCTGCCTTGGGAGACGAGGAAGAGAAAGAGGAGAAGAAGAAAAGAAAAGGAGGAAAAGAGGCTGGATCTTGGCTGGATCCTCGGTTGGTAAAAACAGGAGTAGCTGCATGGAGGGCACAGTGTGTTGGTGAAGAGTCCATCTGCCTGTCCTGGTTCTAGGATCCCAGGAGAGCTGGAGAAGGGCTGGGATAGTCCTGCTCCCTGCTGCAGGCAGGTCTGTTCCTCAGAGCACCAAGGCCTTCTGTCCTGTGAGTTTGCTCCTTATAACCAGAGAAGGAAAAAGGAAGCAAAAGGTGTCTGGGCTGAGGCTTTGCCTTGAACTGCTTCTGCTTGGCGATGGCCAAGTAAGCTCTGCTCCAGGGAAGCGCGTGTGGGACTCGGAGGCAGCTTGGTGGGACGCAGGGCTGGGCTCCAGGGTGAACATCCCCGCTGCAGGATTTGATACTTGAATCCACGTGGCCGTGAAGCCGCTGCCTCTCCTGGTTCCCCCATCCGACCCCTGCGAGCAGCGGCCGGAGGCGTTCGCTGCCGAGCGCCGCGCTGGGCTCTGCGCGGGCTTGTTCTGCGCCTCTCCGCCTGCAGCGCGGCCGCCTGCGCGGAGCTCGCCCCCGAAATCTAGCGTTCGGGGCCTGCAACGGCCCGCTGCGCGTTTGGGACCCTGCGGAGCTGCGCGTCGCAGGAACTGCACCGCTGGGTTTGCAGCCTTGCCCCATAGACACTGCAGCGTGGCAGCAGCAGGGCGAATTCAAAGGTAAATGTAGATAATTTGTAGTATTTGCAAGAACTCAGAGGAGTTCTTCTGGCTCTGCCCTGCCCTGCAGCAAAGGGTTGTGGAGGTCGGTGAGTTCGATGGAAGGAAGGAAGGAAGTCTGGGCTGGACGGGCGCAGGAGAAAGTCCCGCCGTGGCCGACAGCCAGAGCAGGCAGCTCGCGCCGAGGCTGCCCACGCGCAGCGGCTGGCAGCGACACAAACTCCTTTCCAGCCCCGACCTCGGGAGAAATGAGGCTGCCTCGAATTCGCCCCAGCATCCCGGGCTGAAAGGCTCTCACGGGCAGAGGACTCTGCCGGGGTGTCCCATTCCTTGGTCTGTAGCGACAGGACCTGAGCACTGGTCCTGGGCTATGTGTGATGTTTCTGTTTGATTTCTTTGGTCATTCTTGGCATGGCTGCGGTTGATAATCTTTGCCCAATAGGCTGTTAAAAAAATGTGAGGAAAACCAGTTCTGGAAGTACCAACACTTGGATAGGTTGGTTTGCAAAAGACAAACCATCCTGCTCTGCAAGTTGCTTGAAGGGCTTTCTGTGAATCAAAAAGTTTTGTTTTTAAAGCAGCAATTAATACCTGTTCATTTTCCACTCAATCTCTAGAATTTTTCATATGCCTGAAATAAGCCTTTTCTTTTTTCTTTTCTTTTTCTCTCTCAGTGTAAAGGAATCGAACCCCAAATCCAGCCCTTCAGTATTAACCAAGTGAGGAGAGCTCGTGTCCGTTCCTGCACTGCAGGAGGTTTGGCGCCCAGGCCAGGGCTGTGGAAGGAGTTAAACTTGACTCCGAGGAGCAGCCTCCCTGCGGTTCTCTGGGCAGAGACTTGGCTCTTGCTCTTTCTTCCCAAGTGTTCAATAGCTGGAAGAAGCCAGCTCTAAATCCAAATGCCACTTTCTAGAGTGAGAATGAAGTTGTAGCACTCTACACCTCTTTCTTGGCCAGAAGCAACACTAGCTGCATTTGGGGATGGGCAGGTGGGTCTTTATTTCCACATTTATACCCTGCATTTTGCTACCTGCCTGGCTGTACCTCAAGGCAGGTCAGCACGGGGGCTCTCCCTCCAGGCAGGAGATGCTTGGAGCAGAATGCGGAGCCGGGAGAGATGCTTGGAGCAGAACATGTAGCCAGGACTAGTGCAGGGAGCAGCCCTGGCCCCTCTTCCCCCGCAGGTGGCTACGAAGGGGAGGGCTGGTTGCCTCTGCTGGGAACTGGCCACCAGCGCTGGGCGGGACTGGGGAGCACTGGGAGGGCTGCGGGAGCTGGGGACGGATCAGAGGAACCCGAGGCTGGATGCAGCTTAGGTAGGTTCCTACCTTCTTCCTAACTCCTCCTCCTGCCAATTGCTGCGCAATAAATCACCTCGTTAGCTGGGGTTGAGCAGAGCCCGCGCTGCTCCTGGGCAGCTGATGCTCTTTGCAGCTCCATCCTGCTGCGTGCAGAAAGAGCACACGGGGCAACGCGTTATTTAATCTTTCCTAGGGAGGGAGGTTGAATTGTGGCCGGGCTGATGCTTCTGGGCCCCCGTGGCCAAGAGGGTCGTGTCCCAGCACAAGGCACGAGGTCCCCGCGTTGCTGGTGGCAGCGGGCGCATCGCTCTGCTCCCTCCGCTCGGGCTGTGCTCGCTGGGAGCTCTTCTCCTCGCTGGCCTCAAGGGGAGTCCTGGGGCCGTGGGCTTTCCATGAGAAAAGAGCCGTAGCCTGCGTTGTGCTTCAGCACTGCTGTTCCTTCCCCCCTCCGCAGAGCCCTCCCGGAGCAGAAGGAAAAACTCCAGCGTCTGTAACCGCTGCAGACAGCAGAGCGTCTCCTCGTCTTCCCCAAAATGATGGAAAATGAAGTGTTTAAGTCATTTATGTTCTACAGCACGGTCTTGATTTTAAAAATGTACGTTGTTGCCATCATTACGGGACAAGTAAGGCTCAGAAAGAAGGTAAGTTCCAGTTTCCTTTTCCTTCCTTTCATTTTCTGGCTTTTTCCATAGGTTTTTGTTTTGTTTTGGTTTTTTTGCAAGTCCTTTCTGATTTTAATCCTTTAAAGGCTGACAAGGCTTACTGAAGCAAGTTAAGTTTTATTCAACTCAAGTTGAAAGCAAATATTGTTTTAGAGCTGCAGCAGATAAATATCTCGCTTTTCTTTGGCTCTTTTTGTTTGTTTCTACCATCTGTAGCTTGATGTTTATCGTTTCTGAATCCTAATCTAAATAACAACTTCAGCTCTAAAATGGCATGCAGGTAAGCTGCTTCTGGAAAGAGACGCTGTTTACAGTGGATTTTCTGTGTCTGGAAGAACAGGAGGAAAGTCTAAAAGGTTTAAGAAAAAACCTTGAGTTGCAAGAAACGATTCCTGTGGCGTAGAAAAAGCTTTGTGCTTTCGGAGGCTGAATCCCTGCATGAATGCCCCAGGAGAACAGAAGGTTGGGGGAAATAAAAACAATAGCTGGAGAAAATAATTCTTGGGCACAGAGAGAAATGCAGCGAGGTTGGGGACTCTGGCTGCAGTCCGTGTGCTGGGTTAATCCGGTATTTTATCACCTGCAGCCGAATTGGATCTCGTAGCAAAACTCAACTGTCGGCAAAAACTATTTAAAAGTATTTCCAGCTGCATCACTGAAGTGGAAGGGAGATATTTGTGCTCTTGGACATAATGCAGAGATGGGTCTTTTTGTGCTGGACCATCAACACTGCCCAATTTGACTTTTTCGCTTGTGTTTCTGAATGATGCCCAGTCCTGGAACAGTCTGGGCTTGTAGCATGATTAAAGAAAGTGCTAGGGACTTTTCCAGGCTGTGAAGTCAACCTGTTGCGTGTAGCCAGGTCCCCATGGAACAGCTTCCCATAGGTGGGGAGCTTGTATAAATCCTTTTTATTTGTGATGTTATTGGTTTTGGATACGATTCCCTCAGGCCTTGTTTTCCTCACTAATTATTGCTGTCAAAAAAGCAGCCAGGGAATTTTATGTCTCAGCTGGATTAGCTAATCTGTCCCTTTGATGATTTCGGATGCTGCGTTGAGCATCTACAAGTTGTGCGCCCTGCTCCAGAATTGATCTGATGGTGGCTGGAAAAGTCTCCTTTAAAGCAGTTGCACAGGGAGAAGTGGACTGGGATCAGGAAAGCCCAGGAAAGGAAGCAAAGGAAGCCCAGGAGCTCCCTTGAAGCCCCTGGTTTGGGATCTGTTCCGGGAGCAGAGGTGGGTTTTTCAAAAGATTAGAAAAACGCGCATTTTGCCTCTGATATATTAGTGCAATTGCACTTGGGTTTGTGAAGGATGGTGCAAAGCAGTGGCTGAAATGTCTCCTTAGGCAGGGAGAAAAAAAAATGAGGGCAAAACTTCAGCCTGTAAAGATCCTGAAAACGTTATAAACTATCAGAAGAGGGAGGAGGATGGATGAGTGGAAACTCCCAGCTCTGGCTGCTGTTAGGGCCTCTTGCAGTAAATATAATGGATGATGCTATCCTGACATCTCCTTAACATTCATGCAACATAAAAATCTCTCTTCAGCTCTGAATGCTACAGCCAGCGAGGCCTGAGCTTGCAAGTTTTATGCGCAAACACGACGGGAGACAGACCTTTAATGGTTATTCCTCCAAATACCTGTTGTGTACGGGCCAGACGGACTGCCCTTCTGGCCTGGGAAGGGACCTGAGCATCTCGTAAGGCACCAAAGGGGTCTCTGCTCAACCGTTTTAAAGTAGCATGTGAAAAACAGCCGCATGGAGCGTGTCCCCTCACGGCCCTCCCGTGGCAACGGTGTCTTGCAGGCGTTTGCCAACCCCGAGGACGCGCTGCGCAACGGCGGCCTGCAGTACTACCGCGAGGACCCCGACGTGGAGCGGTGCCGCAGGTGAGGGGCGCTGCGGGGTGCAGGGCTGCTGCCAAAGCGGCAGAGAGAGGCTGCAAGGCTCATTAGCTAAGTAATTACCCAGATGGGTTGAACGGGTGGAGCTCCAGGGCAAGATCCCATGCATCAGCTTAATGTTTAATGGGATCGTGGTGTGTGCTGAAGCAACAGCACGGAAGGGTTCAGGTTGAGAGGCTGATGGCCAACTCCAGCACGGTTCAGCTCTTCCTAGGTCCTGTAATTTCCTTGGCTTTGTCTTCTACCCAAACCCCAAGGCTCCTTGTGCCCTGCTCAGGACCCCAAATCCCCCCAAATACTTTTTAACTCGGTCGGCACAGTCAGATTGTGACTGGCAAGCGTGTGGCTGCTCCCAGTGTGGTTTGGAAACCTGAGAAGAAGCTGGACACGGAGGCAGTAACTTCTGCCCCACAAATGAGGTGAGTCCCACTCTTCAGTGAGGCTCCCCCTTCCTCAGGGTGAAAACCCAGAGTGTTTGAGCCCTGAGCTTCTTGCATTGCTGCCCCCGACCCCAGAAGGAGGTTCTCTCGCTAGGAAAAAATGAAACAATATTGTTAATAATAATAGCAGTCCACTTTTCATTAAGCAGAAAACACAAACTTCCAAGCAAATAAATTCTTGGAGCTTCAACAAAGTCCTGGGGAAGGCTGGGATTTAAAGAACTCAGGGTGGGTCTTTGCTAACTTGTACACAAGCCTGGTAAAGACAAAAGAAAAAACAGGGCTTTCTTCAAACAAAGGTGAAGCAGGACCTTCCTTTCAAGCCTTAAGGGGAAGGATGGGGAGCTGCAACGCAGCAGCCCGGAGCTGCTGGCTCTGCGAAGCTGGGGGCAGCCTGTTCCCCCCTCGCCGGCTGAGGAGGTCCCTGGCTACGTGGCAGTCCTGGCGCGACAAGCTCCTTTTCGTTCCTTTCTCCTCCCCTTCCTTCCATTTCTGCTTCCCGCCCTGCTGATCCTCTGCCATGGCTCAGTCCTCAGGGGTCCGTGTTTGGACACGGTGTGGATAGCTGCCGTTTCCCAGCGGAGCTGAAATCCAAAGAAAACCTGTTCCTGGCCCTCTTTTTGCTGGAGAAGGCTCGGGTGCAGGGGCGGGTGGTGGCATCAGCGCAGGATGTGACGTGTTTCCTCACCACGGAGGCTTTTGAGGGGGCGATGGGGGTCTGAGGGGCCTTGAGGCAAATACTCTGTTTGCAAAGAGCCGCCGCATCCGTCCCACGCTCCAGCAGAGCCAGGGCCTGGAATGGCTGAGGTAAAATATTTACCCGCAGGTGCCCTGGCCCCGCCGGGCCGGGGGCTGACGCAGGCTCTGGCGGGGGAAGGGAGCCGGCGAGGCCCCTGCGCAGCGTTCCTGGAGCCCGGCGCACAGTTTGTTTTGTGCAACGCGGTGATGGGAACCAGCTGCCGGCCCGGAGCCTCCGTTCCCGTCCCCCGGCACCGCTGTGCACAGCGAGGCCAGGGCCAGCGGCGGGACCGGGGCCTGCCAGGAGAGCCCTGCTCACACAGGCCCATCCTGCTTGGGAAGGAGCCGGAGTGACAGGGACAGGATCACCCAGAGCCCTCCAAAAACCTGGGCTTGAAGGTTTTGAGACACCTTTGACCAACCTTGGCATGGTGAAATTGAGTTCTGGGCTGTTTCCAGGATGGGTGCCTGGGCATCTCCGCCCTGAAGCTGACTGCAGCGCCAGGATGGGGGTTACAATATTGCCCTCCTCTCCTTTTTTTTTTTCTTTTTTTAAGTCATTTTTTCAGCCAAGTCTGTTCCAGCCTGCATCTGCGCTAATGAGCTGTGCCTGAACATCGTAAAACTTCACAGCCACTTCTCTTAGCTTGCCCAGAAGAAGAGCAAAGGCATCTCAGCCTGCAGGCAGTGTATACATATATATATATATATACATAAATATGTAATCTTTATTTCAGGGAATAAATTGCCTAACATTTTCCCTGGAAAAAACCTCCTGCATTGTAAGAAAACAAGATAAAGAAAGGTGGAGAGACTTGAAGCATGAGGAAAACCACACTGCTCTGGGGACCAGTTTTCACAGGGATTTCCGAGTCTCCTACCTCCCCATCCACACAGGACAGGCTGGGGATGACTGTCATAAAGAGGCCCTTTGAGGCAACCCTATTGATTTTGCCTTGGGAGAGGAAGGGCCACAACCTAAGTAAACACGATCTGCTGTTATTTTGGTAGCGGTGATGTGTACGCGTCGCACAGGCGCTTCCAGGCGGTACCATCGCTCTCGAGTTGGCGGGCGCTCAAGCGGAGCGCTCGGAGCGCAGGCTTTGGCTCCGTGTGAGTAAACAGGACATTGCACAACCCGTTTCACAGCTTTCACTCGTGTCGCTGCGGTGCAGCGGAGCGATGCTGGCGCCACACGTGGGCACAGAGGGGCCTCGGGGCCAACTCTTACCCGTCTCCTTTGGAAATGCCTTCAAAGAGGAGCAAAATTCCTATCCCGGGAGTTTCTCCTTTGCAGAAATGGCAGCCTGGAGGCTGTCGTACACATCTGGGGCCATGTCGCGCTGGCGCCTCGCCATCCTGCAGCTCTCACAGCTATGCGGGGTCTTTGTTTTGCTCTGTTTATTTAAAAACTCTCCCCCTTGAGCTGTCATCCATCACGGCAGCGGCATCTCAGACACGCGGGGCAGCTCAGCGCAGCTTTGTGAGCACGGCAGCCCCTCAAGAAAGACCGGTGGGGATGAAATCTCCCTGCTTGCACGTGCAGGGGGAATCGAACTCCTTCGGACAGTGCTCCCACCCCATCCAGCGGAGAAGAGGGCTGCCCGCACTCCCACGGCTGGGCTTTCTGCCCTGGTGAGGCCGCATCTGGAGTGTTGTGTCCAGTTCTGGGCCCCACAGTACAAGAGGGATGTGGAGCTGCTGGAGAGAGTCCAGCGCAGGGCCACAAGGATGATCAGGGGCCTGGAACATCTGCCCTGCGAGGAGAGGCTGAGGGAGCTGGGCCTGTTCAGCCTGGAGAAGAGAAGGCTGAGAGGGGACCTGAGCAGTGCCTATAAGTACCTCAAGGGAGGCAGTGAGGAGGATGGTGCTGGCCTCTTTTCAGTGGTGGCCACCGACAGAACTAAAGGTAATGGCCACAAACTGAAGCACCAAAAGTTCCACAGGAACTTAAGGAAAATTTTTTTAACAGTGAGAGTGACAGAGCCCTGGAACAGGCTGCCCAGAGAGGTTGTGGAGTCTCCTTCTCTGGAGATCTTCAAACCCGCTTGGACGCAGTCCTGTGCCACGTGCTCTAGGTGACCCTGTGTGTGCAGGGGGGTTGGACTAGATGATCTCTAGAGGTCCCTTCCAACCTTCAGCATTCTATGATTCTGTGAAAGGATGGGAGGCAGCAGGAAGGCAAGGAACAAGCATGTCTCTCTTTTCAGGGCCCATCGCAACGACATGGAGAACATCTTTCCCTTCCTCTTCCTTGGAGCCGTCTACTCCTTGCTGGAGCCCAGTCCTGCCGTGGCGAGGATCCACTTCTTCACCTTCTGTGCGGGGCGCCTCGTGCACACCGTGGCCTACCTGCTGAAGCTGAAGGCGCCCACGCGCTCCGTGGCCTACAGCGTGGCCCAGCTGCCCTGCTTCTCCATGGCTCTGCAGATCCTCCTTGCAACGACCCCGTACTGGTAACGCCGAACCACGCTGGGTGCCCAAACGCTCGAGAGGGAGCCCGCTCCTCCTGCTCTCTGCTGCTGCTTCAGCACAAAGATTTCCCCAGCTGGGCCGGGAGCTCTATGTGCCCTCATCTGTGCGTGCGTCCCTGCACTGCAGGGACACACCATGCAGTTCCCAATAGCGTCCTGGTGGCTGCATCCTGCAGCTTGGCAGGGAAACCTACAGAGAGCAGGGGACACTCTTCCTTTGGAGCAGGAAGGGGCCGCCAGGGCAAGTGGCCCTCAACCTGGCTAGGGATGGGAAGGGAGGAAGCACAGCACATATATGTGTCTCCAGATAAGGAGGATTCATTGGAGGAAAGGAGGCTCCCTGAGAAATTGTCCAGCCTCATGTGAGGACTGAGAAGAGGACGAGGTGCCCTCTCCCCTTGGTCAATAATACCCCATGAATCGGAATGGAAAAGCCAACGTGGTCCCCACTGCAAAACTCTTGCTGCAGAAGAAAGTCAACAACACAATAGTAACTGAGGAAGGGTTATAAAACAAAACTACCTCATTGAGCCTGGCTTGGGGGCCTTGGTCAGGTTGATTCTTAGGCCAGTTTTGGTTTGCAGGGAAGAAAGGGGGTTATGAGCTCTGTCTGCTTGTGAGGAGGCAGAGGGAGGCAGGACAGGTGTCTGCCAGGACGCGTAACGCGGAAGGTTAAACCCCAGCAGTGCCGTGGCGAAGCCGGAGCAGCACTCGTCGCTTCCGGTCCATCCTCTTGTCTCATGCCAAGAAACGCAGCTTTGTTCCAGGAGGAGCCGCGGAGTCTCCCCAGAGGCAGGAACCCCTCACAGTGAGGCTGCCCCGAGGACGTGGCCGGGATTTGGCAGGTCCTGGGAAGCAGCAGATGCCGTTCTGTTTGCTACGGCTCAAGATGTGGGCATCGGTGCTCTGCAAACGAACGGTACCGGTGTATTTCTGCATGCAGCCCTGCTCGCAGGCTGGCAGCAAGGGAGAGAGGCTGCTCCGAGCTTTTGGTCTCCGTCTCCTCGTGGCAGGATGCAGGTAGCCAGCCGAAACTGCTCTGCCCTTGCAGCGCTGTAACCACATAGCAGGGGCGCGCACTGAGTCGTGCAAGGATTGGGGTGCTCACACAAAGCAGTGTTGCAGCGTGCACAAAGCTTGCTCTTAAGAGCCATATCCGCATCCACATGCCTGTCGTACTTGGAAGTGCTTCTGGGCAGGCAGGACATTTTTTCCTCTTCTGTTTGCAGCCTTTCTCTGTAGCTATTCAGGGAATGTGCCGTGACAGCTTTTGGGGTATTTTCTTTCCACTGTTTCTTGCTGTCCGCTCTTGCGGCGCCGCACGCAGCACGGAGCAAGGGGTGTCTGCTGAAAGCTCTGGAAAAGAGCAGAGTGGCTTTGAGTGCTCTCCCAACGCTGTGCCCCAGCAGGAGGAGGATGATCCCGCTGTTCCACAGCGCTGGGTGAAAGCAGCTGTGCTGGACTACAGGGTTTGGGACCAGCACAGTGCAGGATGACAGAACCCGTAAGCGTTTGTGCTGTGCAGCTGTCCTGCAGCGCTAAGAGTGCGTCCAGCAAACAGCAGCACACGATGGAGCTCCCCTCTGAAGGATGAGGAAGCTGCTGGTGTTCGATGCCTCCTCCCCGCTTGGAGGGCAAGGCAGGCTTTACTAAAATCACAGAGGAAAACCAGAAGGAGCAGGAAAGCGATTCCCCTTCTGCCTGTCCTGAGCACTAAAGCTCTTCCTTAAGCCACCTCTCCCGAGATGCTCTTCCCAAGATCTCACTGTGAGCCCATCGGCACAAACCAAGGGGTGAAACTGCAGCTCCCACTGATGCTCTTGAACACTTGTCCTGCTTGGGTAACAGCTTCCGTGCAGCAACTCCTGCTCTCAGGGTAAATGGGGCCTCAGACTTAACGTGTGGGTCAGCTTTGGAGCTGAGAGCTCTGTGTTCTTCCAGGGGAAGCAGAGTCCTTGTGCCAAGAGTCAGGAATACTGCAGGCTTGGCAGTTTGCTTTTGGCCACTTCTCATTTACCCTGTCTCAACAGATATCTGTATAATTCCCTTTTTAACAAGTCTTTTTTTTTTTTCCCCCTCCTCACATGACCAACAAGGCCTCAAACTCCTGTATGTTTCTCTGCTGCTGCACGTGCATCTTGGTGGCAGGAAGCGAATATTCCCAATAAAAACAAATTATTGTACACAGATATATCCTTCCTTGGGGAGCAGCTGATGCAGCTGGACAGCAGCTGGGGCCAGTCCCAGCCTCATGGAAAGAGGCTGCAAAGTGCTTAGCTAAAACCCAGCGCAAGCCTAGAGTGCCCCAGGACTCCAGAAAGAGCCAGCACATCCCGCTGGGCCCACGTGCCCGTCAGAGAAGCTCTCTTCCAGGTGTGTGTGTCCTTCCAGGTGTGCTGATCCTTGCAATTTAGCAGAGCTGGGAAGCGAGACTTGTGAGATGGCTGTGCTTCCCAGAGCAGCAGGTTGTTGTGCAGTTTGGAGTTCACCTGGTTCGTCCCCATCCCAGTTCCCTAAAAACTGTTGGCAGGAGGAGGTTTGCTGGGAGGGAGGGTTTTTTGTGCCCTGCCTGCCAGGCATCTCTTTCCTGCGGAGCCAGGATGGTGCCTAAACCCTGCAGGGCTGGAGGCGTTCAGGTAAGATGTGGTTGCTCTCCTTCCTGTGCTTGTGACTTGTTGTGGAGCCTCTCATGTTTTCAAGGTCAGCAGCCCTCTCCTTTTCCTTGTGGAACCCTCATTTCCCTGTTTTCCCCCTAATTTCTTAAACCCTTTGTGTTTGGGAGGTGCTGCCCTATCTCTGTGCATGTTAGCTGATTAAGATGGGCAAAACGGCTCCGTGTGACAGACTTCTGTTCCCCTCGGTGCTTTTTGCTTTCAAATAACAGAGGAGGCAGCTTTATAAAGTGGGCTCTCTCCAGCACGTGTTGCTGTGTTCAGAGGTGAAGCCGGGATTGAGGCTTGGGCAGGCAGAGGAACAAGCTGGGCTCCAGAAAACCCCAGCCCGCAGAGGTGCCAGCTCTTTGAGGCTCCTTGAAACTCCCTACTCGGTGCCTGGGGCTGAAGCCCTGCCTGGGGAAACTGGGATTACATGCAAAGCTCTGTTTTCTTCTTCTCTCTCTCTCTCCTTTTTTTTTTATTAAAAAAATAAACCCTGCTGTCCTGGCTGCAGGGAAAAGCTTGGGAATGTGAACTCTCCCGGCTCCAAAAAACAAACAGAAAGAGCCCGCAAGGCAAACTTCAGAGAGGCCCAAGCACTGCGCTTATTTTGAAATGCTGTGGAGGTCTGCGGGAGGCAGGAGGGAGCCTGACCCTTTGCTAGGCGGCCCGATTGGCCCCGGGTGTTGTCAGGAGCTCCCCAAAACAAAATGGGTCGGAGCGTCCCCTGGAAAGCGGGATCGCACCCGGGACGTGGTGGGGACAGGTGGGTGATGGAGCTGGATGTCTGTTTTCCTCCCTCAAGGAGATGGGGATCATCCACCAGCACGTGCCAAGCTCCTCCCCTGCGGAAAAAGGATCCAAAGCAGCGGGGCGTTCCCTGCCCGCGCCCCGGATCCCTTCCGGAGAGGCCAGCGGTGTTTCCATGCGCAGGGCCATGCTGTGGCTGTTACCAGCTTTCCTTGTCCCTCTGCTTTTGTGCAGCTGCCTCTCAGTACACCGTATTCCCCAAATAACACACGGCCTGGCAGAGCCCCTGGATTCCTGATCCGCAGGGAGGCTCTCTTGGAGCAGGGATGGTCTCCAGCCTTCACAAGGGTGATGTTGGCACCTGGAAAGCTTCATCCGTGGGGCTTTTCCCTCTGTGGCTCTGGAGCTAGCCTGAGATGTGCCCTGTTTGCAATGGGCCCCTCTGCTTGGCGGTGACAGGGGTGGCCGTGGGGTGGAGCAGCTCATCCTGGGCTACCAGCTCATTCCCGCTCCACTGTCCACGTGAGCGCTCCCGACGCTCGGATCTGCACCAAGTCCTGGCTGGTCTGTGACCAAGTGCCCAGCAGGGATTTTCCCAGGGAAGGGAGGAGCCGCATGGAGGATCCCTGGCTGCTTGGTGCGGATGTGGAGCAGGATGTGGAGCTGGGCTGTGCTGAGGGGTCCCAGGTGCTGCGACTGGTGGGGTCAGGCCTGGAGAGGGAGCCAGGGGGTCTCCCAAGCCCTTCTAGTTGGAACAGGGAATGAGGGAAGTTCCCCCCCAGCAAACCCGGCTGCTGCCTGCACGTCCCCCTGCCGTGGGGCACAGGGAGGTGACACGGAGAGCGTGCTGGGCTCCTCCGGGTCCCCAGCGGTGCCCGCGTCCCCACGAGGGCCGGTGTCCCCCGCGCGCCGTCCGCGATGCTGCACCCCCCTCGTGGGGCGGCGGGCCCGGCCGGGAGCGCTTCGGCTCGCGGAGCCCCGGCCCCCTCCTCCTACCCGCAACCAGCCCCTTCCAGGGGGCCGCGGGCTCCTGCCCCTGGGGTCACCCGCGACACTGCGTGGAATGGGCCCGTGGCCTCGGGAGGGCTCGTGGTGGAGGGGCAGGCGCTCCCGCCCGGCTTCCCACGCGTCCCGGAGCGCGGCGCCAGCAGCCGTGGCCAGGACCGAGCTGCTTCTCGGAGACTTCCCTTCTTGCTTCCTTCTGGGATTTGAAGCGGCAACGAGCGAAATACTAATTGCAGGGTGGAGATGCTCGTTACTGATCGAGTGCGGAACCCGGGGTGGTCAGGACAGGAGGTCCCCAGCTGCCAGCAGGCAGCACGTCCCTCTCATACGTGCACGTGTTTCTGCAGCATCCAAGAGCAGGGGGGTTCCCGGGGCCTGGGGTCTTCCCCTTGCCGCTAGAGGGAGAGGACTTGGTGACACAGTAGCGGGAGGAAGGATGTTTTAACCACTAGATGTCTGTCTAAGTCATCCTGGAGGGGAAAATCCGGCCTGGCATCCTTGTAGTTCCCGGCTCGCTGGAAAATGTGAGCTCTGTTTTGTCTCGCTGCCGCGGCTGATGACAATACAAAATTGTTTT